GTATTTTTCGGTGACGAAGGTAGGTTTCTGGTGTGGAGGAAAGGTTTTTGCTTTATTGAAAAAGAAGCAAGTAGTCCTTTTATGTAACTTATCAATAAGTAAAATTATATGTTAAAGTGTAAACTTTACTAGGATTTAAATTAAAGAGATTTTTTAAAGATTGACAATGAACTACTTCGTGAAAAAAAATCATTTTCCATAAATCTTACCCCTGTCCACTTGTGACAAACTATAAACTAGAGGGTGTCAAAGTCTAAAATCTTCACTTTGTGCATGTCATAGTAGGCTTTCGCCGCAGAATTCTAGGTTATGGAAAATCAAAGCTAACTGTGTTTGGGAGTTGGCTCTGGGCTTTGAGGTTGCGGGTGTCCCAAAAAAAACGTGACCTAGAGTGAACTCATACGTTCTCAGTCTCAATATAATGGACTGTGGAGAGCTGCACGTCTATAAAAGTTAAAATGGATATAGGGAAAACCGGGGTAGCAAGGTGATGCTAAAAGTACTAATAAGGGTTGCCTTAAATGGAATACATCAGGAGGGGGGGTCCATAAATCACGCGATAGATTTCTAAAGATTTAAATAAAATAAGCAGTACAAGGATGCCTTAATCTATATTCAACAGATGCATTTAATGCAAATGCTAAGACTACATTTTTGTTCAGAATTTTAATTATTATGTTAGCATAATACAGCAACGGTTTCAGCTACCTGATATACATTGTAAATTGTAAAATCAATAATATCTAATTTACTACGCGTTTTTGAAATAATTAACATGAATTTTGAAATAGATAACATAAATAAATTTCTCCGTTACTCCTCTATTTTCACTCAAGTTTTTCCGCAGTCACCAAAGGGTAAGAATCAGTCGAGCACTCGTGTGTGTGACTTGCAGAAGTGAAGTAGGCCAAGAAGATGAGTGACTTGAATTTTGAATAACAAAACAGAATTGGGTAAAGAAAATAAGTCGGAAAAGAATGATTTCAAGAAACGATTTAACATGACTCGACGCGATCATCTAGAATTGTATTTTGTGGACTATTTGTAAAAATTGCTGCTCTAGTTGAGAATGACTTCGGTTAATGACGATTGAAAATGAATTGGTATTGAATAATGAAACTAATACTGCATAATAAGTACAGAACTCATAGAATTGTATTATCGTGCAGATTTGAAACGTTTTATAGTTTATAAAGATTTTAGAGGTCTCTAGCAGATTGATGATTAGAGCTATGGCTCCATTTCTTCCTCGGGTAGCATGATGTCAAGCAGTAGGGACATCGGTTTTCACTTGGAAATATGGATAGCAATATATCTCAAATTCAAAATAGTCCTATCGCAATTCATCACTATTACAGATATTGTTATAATAATCATTAGATAGTCGTTTATAAAGTCGATAATTAAGTTAAATTATCACAACAGCTAATTGGACCCTGAATTCTTCACTGAAGTTTGAACCCTGATTGTTGTTGAAATAATATAAAACATAAAGTTGTGAGTTATTTTAAGTTATTTGAGATATGCTCTGCTCTTTAACACTTTCGACTCGGGAGTCGGACTGCCAGTCGGTACGCTGCGCTCGAATATTATAGTGCTATACTTTTCTCTCAACTCGGAATTTTTTTTGTATCGGATTTTTTCAAAATGTGGTTATATTGCTTTTAAATATAGTTATTATGATAATAAAATAAAAAATTGAAAATTAAAAAAAATTGCACTCAAAACCATGCTATATTGTTTCAAAAATCATTTCTTCACAGATCTTTATTAGAATTATGGGGATCATGAGCTAATAAATTAATTTTGTTATATTTTATTATAAAATTAATAAATCAATCAATAAATGAATGTAATAGTAAATTAATTTAAAAAAAAATAAAAAAAATTGAATGTAAGTTTAGTTTGCGACGAGTCGTCGCCGACACGATTTGCCGCCGGAACGGCGGCATCCGAGCTTAACGGTAAAACATATCATGCCGCCGGAGTGGCGGCATCCGAGCGCAACGGTAAAATGACTATGCCGCCGGAGCGGCGGCATCCGAGTCGAAAGGGTTAAATTCTACTTAGAGATGATTCTTAGCTTTATTATAGCAGCTTTGGTATTTTTATTGCAAGGTTCCAGGTTCTATTTCGTCTCAAAATATATAATAAGAATAACATTAAACAGAGAATAGACAACCACTGGGTTGCCTTCTAATAATACTAGGATATGGAATTATTTCACAACAGCTTAGAGAATAATAAGGATAGTTCTGATAATAAAAACATTCTCATGTATTTAAATCCTTAGCACAAACACAAAATGGTCATTATAAAAATTATTATATTATATTTATTTTATTTTATTGAATAATCAAAAATTATAATAATTATTTTGTATATATGTTTTATTTTAAGATGTTATGAGAAATAGCTATACTAATAGGAAAAGTGGAAATATTCAATTTTAATTATCGTTTATACAATTGTTGCTAATTTGTTTACATACGATGGGTGTGGGCGTTTATAAGACGTTTCTCATTACTGTGTTGAATAAATTTTACTCAATTATTATAAAAAATATGATAATTCATTATCGTCAGTTTTGGTAATTCATTAAATTTACATTTACCTATTCAAATGCGAATGCGATAATATTATTCGAAAACATCACGCAAAACGTACAAAAATAACTTACACCTCTTGTTTGGAATTCTGCTGGAGCGTTTTAACGCTCCGAAAGTGCTTCAAAAAGTCGTTATAAAAATACCTTCAGTAAATCTTACAAAACACTCAAAACACGAGTATTATTACAAACATTATGCTCCGCCGTTAAAATTTCCTAATGACACATTTGGGAATTGCTTTGCTTTATATTTTATTCAGATCGTGTATTTAAATTCTATTATGTTCCTTCTCCAGGAAACTTCGGCGACGTTCCACAAAAGTTTCTGGGAAATAAAGTCAATATCGTTCACTTTAGTCACACACAACTTTTTCTATTAAAACTGTCATCCGTGTCATATCATAACATACAATGGCTTTGGTACTTTTTTCCGCCAGGCGAAGAGAGCTAAACTTTTTAAATTTATATTGTTCCATGATTGAAATGAAAGAACTATTCGACTTCATTTCCTAGCTGTAGGCTATTTTATATCGGGTAAGGTTTGAATAAACTTAGAAAATTGCCAAGAACTGGCAATAACATAACTCTAGGTCTAGGATATTAACCCTTTCTACTCCTACATTGCAGAAGTAATATGCATTTTGTCGCCGGAGCAGCGGCATCCGAGTGGAAAAGGCTAATAATGGCTAATAGGAAAAGTAAAACTTTTGTCTTTGAGAACTTTGCCTTATTAATCATTCATTCAATATTGATGAATAGTATTTTACTAGTTGACTATAATTCTCATTCTACTAAGTACATAAATTTTTTACATGTAAAATATTGCAAGAAACATCATGTGTAGTCTCTTGTAAATTTATTTTTACATAAATAATTAAAAAATGTTAGATACATTATTTTATTACATTAAATATTTTATTGGAACAATAGTTTTAATGATTATGATTAATATTATTTTAAAGCTCTGTCCAATTTGTAAAGATTTGTCTAATACAACTATATATTACTCGTTCATCATTCTGTGCTTTTTCATTTGTTGTATGATCACATTTTATATTTATTTCATTTTTATTACATACTTGACGCCAGATAAATTTTATATAATACATTTATATAGCAATATAATTTTCATCATTTTTATCTGTTTACTTTTATATCCAAAAAACAATACCGTGATTGCAGATTCTTATATAATAGCAATATAAAAATGAGTAATTCTGAAAGCAATCTCTGTTTACAAATTGTTAAATATATAGTTAATTATAAGATAAAATAGATGAATCGTGTAAATATAAAAATCTCAATCTCAAAGTGTATAAACAAGATAAGACAATGATTAATACACCTATCTATTATTTATAAATATTTAGATAAATGACATTTAAACTAATCAAAATTATTTGCTTACAAGGTACGGACAAGTAAATATATATGCCTTGAGTTATAGTTTGTTTAATTGTTAATTAAATTTTATTTTGTATTTTTAAGTTTATTTACTTATAATATACTGTTGTGATCACTTAATTAAAAAACACTATTTCTCAGACAAAGAATGATGTTAATTAAATATTGGACTATACATAAAAAAATATAATTTCTTGAGAGCGCGTCAGATAATTTTATTATATTTTTGCAAGAAAGAAATTATATGTTCAACTTTAATTGGAATTTGTGCGTTATTAATATATATATAATTACATTTTAAATAAATGGAATTTATAAAAACAATTTAAAATATTTAATAAATTGCTTTGATAATAAATTTCTATTTATCATAAAGAGTATAATATAACCTAATAGTTAAATATTATTTATTAATATTGGATTAATCCCTACCTTTTCGCATTTTCTTTTGTTTCATTTTTATTTAAAATATTTTTTTTAAGTAAAATTTTTTCTTTTGCAGAAGTTCAATAAAATCCAAATCGGAATTTGGTGAAAAACTTTTATTCCTTGTATGCAGGATAAGAAATTATTCAATTACTGCAATTACTATTACGGCATAGGGGTTTGGGGTAAAAGGGTAAAAATTTAGGACTACATGTTAAATGAAAGAAAATGGTTCTAACTCTAAAAAAGATCTCAAGGATACTCTTACCCCTCAATAAAAACTCTTACCCCTCAATAAAAACTCTTACCCCTTATTAAAAACTCTTACCCCATAATAAAAACAATCGGTTCTAAACCTAAAATATAATTTTAAGGATGATCAACCCTTACCTTAAGGATATGAAAAATTATTATTTAGAGTTCTATCAATTACTCTGATCATAATACTTTTATTAAAACTAATTGAATAAATATATGAATATTCTCTGTTTGATTCAAAATTTATAAAAATAATAAATAATTAACAATAAACAATTAAATTAATGGTCATTTATCATTTCAGGGATGGGGTTGACACCCTTAGTTTTTATGCGTTACCGATATCTTCGATCAGGACCAGTAAATGTAATAGCAATGGATTGGGAGGCTTTAAGTTCTGGTCCTTGTTATATAGCAGCGGTGTCAAATTCGCGGCCCGCGGGCGTTTGTGTAGCTCAACTTGTATCGCGATTGAGGGATGCAGGTGCTACAAATATTCATATTATTGGATTCAGCTTGGGTGCACATGTGCCCAATTTTGCTGCTGTGAAATTGAGGCCTTATAAGTTGTCCAGAATTACAGGTAAAAGAATTAATTAACAATAATTTAATTTTATAGTGTAAAAATATTTAACGGTCAGTACTTCGAATTCTGTAAATTTTACTCAACAGTTGAAAATAAAATGCCATTGAACATTTAATTCCAGAATTTCAAAATTTGTTTTAATTATTATAACCAAGTATTTCCTCACAAAAGTACCTACTGTCTACCATATCTCGCGATTTGTTTAAATTCAAAAATTAGTTAATTAATAACAATAATTAAGAGATTAGGTATTTATACTATCGATATTAGTATAATATATTATAAGTCCTGTTTTTTTAATTGATTAATTAATGCTCAAATTAATAATTTACCCACTTATCAATTTTCAGGTTTAGATCCAGCCATGCCCTTATTTGCTTTCTCGTCTTTGGATGGTAAACTAGATCCAACAGATGCAGAATTTGTCGACGTTTTTCACACCAATGCTCTTATTCAAGTATAAGATATATAATTCAATATTCAATAATGATATATAATTAAAGAATTATTTATATAAATTATTTTTAAGGGAAAAATGGAACGCTGTGGCCACGCAGATTTTTATTTCAACGGTGGTGTTGCCCAACCCGGTTGTGGCGTAGACGTAGGTTGTAGTCATCATAGAGCAGCTGATTATTTTGCTGAATCCATAAAAGGTAATTCTAAAATTTAATGTATTAATAAAAAAATAGTCTAGATACTTCAGTCTTTAAGGAGCACAACTAGTGTAACCCTAAAATAAAGGTTATTTTTGGGAATTTATATTAAAAAAACTACGTTATCAATCATTTCAAAATTTTAGAAATATATTTATACATGTTTTAGGAATACATAGTAAAATTTTTGAAAAAAAAAGTTAAATATTTTTTCAAGTTATCGTCGATCTCCAACGGCGCGACGAAAAAAGGCCCTTCACTGCTACAGTGATTCCGGCCTTCTACGTGGATGAAATTTGAAAAAAAAAATTCTCGTTAAACTAGATAATATTGTCTGTAAAATGAACTACGATCAAGAAAAAAAATCAAAAATTGACAAAATGACGGCGTTTTGTAAAAAAAAAAAACGAATTTTACCCAAAATGTTTGTCGTTTTTGGACTGCCAAAATTCGATTTTTGATCCGTTTAAAAAATCGATAGTACATTTTACGGAGAACTATATATAGAACATGTAAAAAAATTGATAGTAATCGGATCATTTGTTTTTGAGTAATCGGCAAAGTAAACAGCAAATTCGGAAAATGCTGTTTCGAGAAAAACGCGTTTAAAGATTAAATGATCGTTATACTATAACTATATATATATATACTCTTTAAATGGATGTAATCAAAAACTACTTAAGAAATCGATTTAAATTTTTGGTATGTTATTTTTAAAGGTATAACCTATTGATATATGAAAAAGTTGAAAATTCGATTTTTTGACAATTTCACACTAGTTGTGCCCCTTAATGATAAATATAGACAACTCTTTTAATAAAATAATACTGCAGGATATATAGAACTTAAATTAAATATTAATTGTTTTAATGTTTATAAGTTCATTATTATCAATGGTTAAATGCAGTATTTAACCTGCATCTGTAATCTCAATCTGACCAAAAAAAAATACTTCAGAACGTTTTTGTTCTGGCTTTATAAACTTGTGTACTGACCTTCTGAACGATTCTCACTCTTATGTCAATGATAATTTTTTTAACTCAAATGAAAAGGCAAACTTCAAATACTTATACTTTTGTCTAATTGCTATAAAATATGAATAATATTACAAAACAGCATATAAGTTTATAATTCAAGAATTTATCAAAAACTTGAATCTGGTTTACTATAATTAACAGGTCATAACTCAGATCTACTAAGATGCCTGCAAAGTTTTAGCAAATTCAAACAAGTTGTATTTAACATAACTATAAACTGTACTATTCGAAACCCTTCAAAAGTATGATTCTTTGTCAAACTATCAACTATCTCATCTTCCAGGCGACGGCGCCTCTCCCGTGGGTTTCTGGTCGTGGCCGTGTCCGAGCTTCACGCATTACATTTTTGGTCTCTGCCTTCGAACACAAGACGGTTCAAGGTTGGCTGGCGAGCATTGTTCGCGTGACACTAGGGGAATGTTCTTGGTGGAGACAAGGAGCAAGCCGCCCTACGCCAAAGGCATTATAATAGACCCCGAAGAAGAGAGGTCGATAAGGTGAGCAGCTTGTTTGATTAGGGGGGATGTTCTTATTTTTTTAGAAAAATGATATGGTTTTATATATACTGTGTGGGTTAAGATCGGAAGTTAGCATTGATATGCTAATTTATCACATAAATTTAACCAATTATAATATATATATATATATATATATATATATATATATATATATGTAATATAAGGGTGGTCCTTAATACGGACATTTTCTAATTTCCTTGCTCCCAAAGGCTCATATGGTTCCAAATTGATAAAAAACAATTCTCTGAAAGTTTTAGCTTGTATTATTGTCTTTTAGATAGAGCGCAATTCAATCAAAGTTTTGTATGGAAATAGCATGAAAAAAAAATTCAAAAATTTCGCAGAGTTTCGAATTTTTAGTAAAAAATGACACGAATTTTCACTTTTAATTCATTTGTCGCTAAGTTATACAAACAAAATTTTTTTTTTAATTTTCAGTATTTTTTCCATGCTATTTCCATACGAAGTTTGATTGAATTGCGCACTATCTAAAAGTTAATATCAAGAGCTAAAACTTTCAGAGAATTGTTTTTTAGAATTTGGAATGATTTGAGCCCTTGGGAGCTAGGAAGTTCGAAAATGTCCATATTAAGAACCATCCTAATACAATATACTTACCCTTAAGAGTATAGCTCGTAAAAACTTTTTGCGATACAAAAATTAGAAATGAGGTAAAAATGCAAACTTGGCATTTAGTCATCGGACAATATATTTTTTATAATCCTTATACTATATTTTAACGTTGAAAATGATTTATTAAAATTGTGGTATGTATTATAACATTTTTTCAAAATATTCGCAGACATGAATTAGAAACCTTTATTAAAATAAAAATAATAAAAAAACAATCATGATTCAATAACAACACATTACTTAATTTGACTCAATAAGTCCTATTGTTCAATAAGTTGAACTTAATGATATTTACTTCATTAAGTTACTTACTAACTTAAATATTGTACAAATTTGAAATATGAATAATTCTGGCCATCTGACTAACGACAATGAAATTACAAATTATTATATAATGATATAATATTTACACTCACCATAAATATATATATATATATATATATATATATATATGATCTTTAATAATAATTCAAAAAATTCAAAATTTTAATATAGGAGCAAAATAAACTGCTGAACAATTTCAAATAGAACAAAATTTCCGGTAAAATGAATAACTAAAAACTTATTCATAGCTCAAAATCAATTTTAAAACAATATATCTTCGCCTCTTTTCTTAAGAACATATCTAATACATATTTTTATTTTGCAAGCAGGAAGAAGAAGGTAAGATATATATTAGGATTTAACGATATTTTCTTGCAAAAAGCGATTAGATAATTAAATGATAAACAAATATCAAATGCATTATAGACATGAAATATATTTTACATGAAAACCAACAAGTTGTCGTAATTTGATTGCATGAAAAAATACTACAACTTCGAATTAAATATTGTATCTGGCCATTACAATCAGAAAACTACTATAAAAGATTGCTACTTGAATTAATAATAAGTTTTCAAAAGAACAAATTTACATCTTGATTTTTTTAATTAAAAGATACATTCAAGAATTATATTATAATCATTAGAATATCGTTATAAATCATATATCTAGTGGAAAATCATTGTGATGTCTGAAACGTGATCATTTTAATTTAATGTTTTTTGAACAAGAGATAACTGTAACTTGGAAAATTTGCTGAATGTCCTGAACTGGGAATTTGTAAATAAATTTACTAGTATGCCTGATTTAATTAAGAATCCGTTTGACAGCCAACATTTCAATCTCTTTTTCATAAAAATTTATCAGTCCAAAAATAAATAAAATCTGGATTGAAATTTAAGTCTGATGGATCAATCACCAATTCAGTGCTATTGAATAAAACATTTTTTGAATTTATATTTAAATTATTTAAACTTTTGAATGAAATAGAGAACAAAAAAAAATATTATAAATAACCAAGTGACTTTTATAAATTTGTTATACCCTATTTATACGTATTACGTCCTATTTTCCTTGCTTACATTGTCCTAGGTTCTATGATACTGTATTTAGGAATGGTTATCATTTCAATATAAAGCGTTTTCTGAAAACGAGTTAAATTGGTGACCAGTACAATGTTATGTCTAAATCCTAGTAAAATATAGTGATTTATTTATATATTTATATTTATCTTAGTCCGCGTTGCTGGGGGCCTTCCTGTCTAAACAGAATTCCGACTACGGCCCAGCCCGTATATCGCACTTCGACTTTCCACGTTAGTCATTCTAGCCTAAACAACGATATCAGCCCAGAGATAACAACGAAGCATTCGACTAGAAAAATAACGCCAGGACGAAAAACAACAATGCCCAAGACAACGGCTCATCCGAACACTTTGGGTATTATCAGAGTGGAAATGATAGAATAACGATTCGTTGGATGGACACTCGAAAATAATAGAATGCTTCGACAATTCTCTCAACTGATGTTATTCCAAAGATACTAGATTTAGACTGTAGAATGTTATGTACAGATTATTTACTTAAGGCTAGTGTATGTATGTTATGTTGATGATTTTATAATGATTTGTATATAGGCTTTAGAGTAATTGAGTTACATATGATGTAAGTTATATGGTTTATAGTACTAATTTAGTGCATTGATTAAAAATAATAATTGATTTTGTTACGTCATGTTTCTATAAATTCAACAGGTATCAAGTGTTATAGGAAATAATATGGGTGTTTCGGACAACCTGACATCGTGCAGAAGCAATGTCCAAAATTCGCATTTTGATCAAAAATATGTTTCCAATTGAAAATAAGCTCATTTCGGGCACAGCGGTGTGAAATGGCAATAGAAAATTTCTTACCTGAAATGAGTTGAACTTCAACTTAGCTCACCTACCTACTCTAAGGCAGTATGACCCATTGCTATTACAGGAATTAATAATATATCGGATGGCAAGATTTAATACATGGGATATTTTTTCTAGGATGTTTCATTTAATGACCATAAATGCTGAAACAATTATCAGATACATTTCTGAAGGATGATAAAATAATTATGAGGTCATGTACATTTATATAGCCAAAATATTTAGCAAAAAAAAGCTTCGGAGAGAAATTGAATTTATTAATATTTCAGATATTTTTTTCAGATACTTCACCCAATGAAGGAAGATAATTAATATTACAGAGCATTTAATCACTTCAAAGTAAATTCGTCTTTATTAATAATTGAGATTTTTTTTGAATTCGCACCCAATTAAAGTAAGAAGATTAATTTGATCACTTCGAAGTGAATTCAAATTTATTAATAATTTAAACCACGGCTTCTTAAACTAAGGGTAGTAATCCCAAATGGGCTCGGGTAGGAAAATTCTGGGGTCGCAAAATATTTTAATGCCAAATTTTAGATTATTTTTTTTAATTTGCACCATACAGAATTAAGAAGACTAATATTCCAAAAATGTTATAAATAAGTTAAATAAATGCGGGATGATAGTATTGACCGTAACTGTCCTAAAAAAAAAATAATTAATGTATCTCACATTGTTTGAAATTCTACAACCTAGAGCTTTGGTGAAACTGAGACAATTTTTCGGTTATTTTGATTATTTTTATTCATTAGGTGGCGTTCATTCATCACGCGAGTCTTAAAAATCCCCTTTAAGGAGGGGTTGATAAAAAATAACAAACTATCACGTTCGGGTGGAAGATATCACGTGTATTTATTATTTACCTCAATTTAAAAAAAAACTAGCAAACTACTAGTAAAATAACTTAAAAAAAACTAGCAACTTTTTCAAAAAATGTTCAAAAGATTTGCAGCGGAGCAACGAGTAAATTGGGGCGATTTTCTAACATTGATATAATTTTGATGATGATTAGTGAATCTTGCTTTTATAAAATTTTCAGTATATAGCACCTCCAAATTATTATGCAGAGTTTTATTTCCCACGTACAAGGGTGCATTTGTCATCATTGTAAGTAGTTTTCTTTGGGTTCGCTGTACCAAAGCCACATTCGATTTGCTAGAGCAGCCCCAAAGCAGTATACCGTATGTCCAGACTGGTTAATATAGAATAATATAGAAGCACACATATTTTTGTAAAATTTATTATCCCAGCACAATTTCTTCAATCGATTCATCAATAAAACAACAAATACCATATATATTTTTCGTCCATTGTATCGTGGATTCAGGCGCCACCGGTGTGACTGAAGGCTGTCATCCGACACTTGTTATTTGACGCCCGTCGACACGGAAGCATTTCCTATTTCCATACATAACAAGCGACGGATGCGTGCTCGTCGAATGTTTGTATCATATTTCGCATTTGAAATCATGAATGAAATTACCGAATAAATTGTAGATATCGTCAGGGAAAAAAACGAAGAGCTTTTCCACATCAATATGCCGTGCGCGAACGCGACTGAAAGAGGCGATCGGCATTGGAAGTTTGAAAGTATTTGAAGATATATGAGTAATTGGAGTGATAAATCGAGAATGTGTATTTCTCAGGGTACTTGTATGGATGCTTGAAACTTTATGGTAATCGAAGATAGGTTTTATTGGAATTATATTTTTTTATTTAAAATTTATTCTAAGTATAAAAACACTTAATTTATTTAAAGATCAGCGTGGAAAATATTTAATTCGACGATTATAGATCAAATAGTACTATTAAATTGAACGTTTGTGATCAACACAAAGGCGAATATGTGCAGAGAACTTTTTAGCCCAGTCATTTAAGTTTAAAGTAGGTAAGAATCTCGGAATTTGATATACCCAGCTGTAAGTCTGCAAATACTTGTATTTTGCACTCTAAAAGTTGCCTCAAAACCTACATATGGTAGGGTGTACGCATCATATGTAGGTTTTGAGACAACTTTTAGGGTGTAAAATACAAATATTTACTATGACTATGGTATATTTTTCTATGACTTGTTATTCAATATTTGCAATTTTTTAGTCCAATTATCAGAGAGAAAATGTAAAAAATCAATATTACATTCGTACGTATTTATACAATATATTTTAATATAAGAATTTTACGAAAATCAATTTTTTTTTAAATTATCAGAACCTTGTAATGAATTTGACTACACACGGTTGTTGACTAGCATATACCTATTTTTATGGTGCAATTTTAATTATAATAGTTCCTAAACTTTTTTATGATGAATAAAAATATTCATGAAACATGGCGAAGAATATCGCAAATATATACATCTTCGTCAATTATCCAATAAAAACGAGATATTTAATATGTGCATAAATTCCGCTACGAATAACTACAACTTTGTTTTTATCCCAACTTTGATAATAAATATTTTGATAAATGTTGCCAAAATTAATTTTATGATATTTTTAAGAAATATATAAATTATATAAAGCTTACTGAGCAGAGTGGCCAAGGTAATTAATGATTCAACTTCAACTTTTTTAATTAAGCGTGAGATGATTTTGGGAATAGCGCTAAGAAGATTGTTAAATAAAATTATTACGCACAGACAAGCATATTTAATTAATTAATTATTATATAAAATTTTGATTAATTTGTTAATTTTTTTTCGATGCAAATTCAGTTAAAATTCATTCACATGACGTTTGGATAAAATTCTAGACTTCATTAAAAGCATTCTAAATTTATTTATTTATTATTTTTGTACCTTTGTGAGTGGATTTTTTTTTAAAGCAATTGTAAAACTAATTCAGTGACGTAATGATGTTAAATTATTTAAAACTATATATAGCTTACAATAGTTTATTACTGTTATATACTTGAAATCATTTATTTTAATTTTTTTCCATGACCAAATATAATTGTAATTGGATTTTAAGTAAATATAACTCAAATTCTATATGATATAAATCAAACTCCATATATGTTGTGTGTGATGTATGCGTTGTATACGTGTATACACATAAATATAATTTATTTTTTTCTAAAATTCCCAGTAGGATAATTTATTTCAATAAATATATGTTTTGGGATAAGTTCGGTCCCGTCCAATCCAATATGTAGCCCATTAAACGATTTGCGCACAAAGGTGAAGATTTATGCATGAACTAAGTAGTGTAATATAATACCCGTGTCTGGAACTTGTTTATGGCAACGCTCCATTTGACTATGTGTGTGACATATAGTTTTGGAGCAATAGTCTTGGAGTTGGAAAGAATTCTGTGTGAAATATAAAAATTTGAGAAAATTTCTCACAATTCAAAAATCCTAAAAATTGAGGAAATATCTCACAATTCAGAAAAAAGTAAAAACAAGGCAAGGTGGGGTTAGACACAAATTATTGCACTGAAATTGCAGGTAAGTGAATTATTTAAACAAGTTTTCTTAATGATATTTAATAGTAGTAATGCTGTAAAAGTTCTAACAAATATGCAGAGTATCTCAGAACTCGTCAAGCCGATACATGGTGGCATCATTGATCGTATATGAACAAAATTAGAAAATGCATTTGTTCTTTGTAGTTTTAAAATTATGAGCTTTCAAGTGTAACCTACAGCTTTGGTAAAATTGTGACCATTTTTCTGTCATTGTTGTTAATTTTTAATCATTTTATTCATTCAAGCATTGGATCTGTAAACCTGAAGAACATTTCTAGAACAAGAATCAAAATTAATGTTACAATTGTCTCAAGATTTCTAGAACAAAGACCATTTGCTAATTTATGAACATAAAATTTTCAAAATTGACTTAGACTTTCAAATGTCTTCTTTTAAGCTCTAATAATAATTTCAAAAAAAATCGCATATATTATAATATACTTAATATTTTCTATTATATTCACTAGTTCTCAGACTATTCTCTGTCACGGTGGCAGGTAAGTGTGGCGTAAATTAGATTTGTAGTCCTGGGCCTACGCGTCCCCTACGCCCGTAGCATTGTAGCACCGTAGCCCGTAGCCACCAGTTCGCGTTGCGTAGCACATCCAATATGTCATTAAGTAAACGTTGCCCTTTAATATATCGGGATTAAACAAACGTATAACATTTGCAGTGATGGTAAACGACTTACGAATATCTTATATATAAAATTCTACTGTACGGATGTATGAATTCAAACTCCTCCTACACGGTTATTCGAATTTTGATAAATCTTTTTGGAGTTTGTTAAGGAAAAATTTTAAGATGTAAATGATTATACAAATATAGTAACATTGTAGAAATAAATGAGAAAAATGAAAAAAACAACATATCATTGTTTGACATTGAAAACATATTGACACAGGAGAACTGTCACTTGACAGAAATGTCAATTCACTTTTCTATTTTTAACTCTGTTTTATTCAGTAATTAAAAATACATAAGAATTCCTATAAGCTAAATTGACAATATTTGAGAGCGATGTCTCAGAAGAACTCCAATGAGATCTTCTTAGTTTAACAATTAAAATATAATGATAAT